CCCCCCCCACACATTTCTTCATTGCTTTCACTCTAGTCATCCCTCTTGTGTTTCTCACATCCCACACTTGGCATCTCCCTTATAAGCTTTCTTTGGTTCTTTTTGTCTTCTTGTGCGGAGGAGAACGTTGTGTATCTCACTCCCCCACACGCGTGGGGAGAAAAAGAAAACTATGTCTATTGGTATGGCTTGGCGCCCGGGCGCTGGGCCTCCTTCTGCAGCTCCTGCTTCACTTTCTCCTGGACGGTGTCCCAGTCCACCTTCACCGAAGCCGCTAGCTCCGTGAAGGCGGGAATGCTCTCCTGTTTGCCTACAGCTGCAAGGTAACGCTGGCGCCGCGCCAAGACAGTGTCTACGTGTGTCTTCCGCTCCGTCGCAATCTCCAACGCGCGCTCCCAATTGAACAGACGCGTGTGCATGTCAATACAACGGTAGATGAGGCCAGCCTGCAGGAGGATACGCTCCGCCTCAACTGGGCGGCGCTGGAACAGCGCCAGCTCCGCCTGCCGCCCCTCAACTGTGGGGATATTCTTCAAATGACGGATGTAGCGCACCTTGTCGAGCTCGAAGAGGGCACCGCAGCCAACCTCCGCCACATTTAACTCTCCGTGGCGCAGTGCCAGGCCAGTCAGGATACCCCATAACGGCTTATCATCGAGAAATCGTGCCAAACGTATGGCACCCTCCCAATCATGCCGTGAGACGTGCTCAAATATCATAGAGGGGTATGGTGATGTATTGAACGTAAGAAGTGCACCATCTGCCCCACGCCGCACACTCACTTGTGTCCCACTGAATGCGACAATGCGATCGTTCCGCGAAAATTCGTCCGTGCCGTCGTCGCGTACCGTCTTCGTGGTAGGCAAAAGATCACGATCGGAGAATATAATTGTGGGATAGTACCACGTTGTGAGGTGCCCATCTGTAATGGCAATGAGAATCTCATGTTTATCATGCCAAGCCAAGTTCGACGTCATGGTGCTGATTTTCTGCACACCAAGACGCTGGTGTACTGCGCCAAAGTGCAGATCGCGGTTGCGATCCACAAAGGCAATTTTACGGTCATTGAGAGCCCCGGGTTGCGAGAGCTCCAGCGACACAACGTCAAGGTGGTGGGTAATGGTGGCGTCCTCGATCGGCTTGCCGTTGTTTGGGTCAAAAAAGATAATTTTCTTTGGGTCGGCAGGGTTGCGGACAGCCACCGTATCGGGTGACAGAGAGACAAGATCAGGTGCCATAATCTCGGGCCGCAAAGACGCTTGTAGGCGTAGGATGCAGATCTGTCGGCCCTCGTACGAGTACACCTGCATGCCGGCATTGCAGTCTGCCAGCAGGAATTGCTTTGGCCCGAGAATCAGTGTAATGACGACATCACGGAGGTCAAACTGCACCGGTGCTGAGAGACGCTCAATGGGGTAGCATGCACACTGTGTGGTGGTGCACGCCACAATATAACCGTAGCCAAGTTCCACCTTAATTACCTTGTCACGCTGCTCCAACTCCTCAACGACATCGGTTAGAACATCCTGCACCAAGAGTTTGTTACCCTCCACCAGCGTCACACAGCATTGACCCCAGTACAGTTTTCGATCAACAAGCTGTGCTGTGCACACTGCGCCGCTACCGCACCCCACTACTACCTGTGTCCCATCTGCAGTCCATTGCAGCGAAAGAGCACTACCTTCTGGAAGACGCTCATATGTGTGGCTCCAGCCCGTTTTATCACACACACGTAAGTTCATGAAGGAGCCTACAACGAACATCTCACCATCAGCTGCAAATTTTACCGCTGTACAAGGATGCTCACCAGCGGCAGAGACGTAAATGCTGCGCCCGTATGGGTCCCACACCTTGTATGTACCGTCCTCACCACCGGTAACGATGTAGCCCGTCATGAGAGACCAGTCCACAGACAGCACAACGCCATTGTGAGCCTTCCATTTCAATTGTTTTTTTACTGTTGGGTTCAGTGGTTTGATAATCACTTCACAGCCAACACAGTACAGCACGCAGTCTCCACCCAGCTCCGTCGTTTCCGACCCCCAGCAGAGAGCGTACACACACTTGCCGGCGGAGACCAACGTCGTGCGCGGGATGCCAGCCTGCGACCACACCTTCACGCAGCCGTCCTCACCGGACGATACGATGGAGGAGGCGTCAGCAGAGTACACGAGGCCGGTGATGGTGCCGATGTGCGCGTCAACCTTACGCTCCACACGACCTGACGCCGTGTTGAGGAACGAGAACGTCCCATCCGCGCAGGCCACGAGGCAGTTGTCTTTTCCTTCAATGGTGCCAGCCGCCGCACCGCGTCCTTTACGGCCGCCCTGAACAGGCACCCATGTGATGTAGGTGATGCAGCTGTCGAACTGCTGCACCTTTCCCAGTGGCTCGCCGTTGGGGCTCCAGCGGCGCAGCACGTAGTCGTCACCGGCGCTGATCACATCGCCCATCAGCGACACGGCGACACACGTGCAGGCATCGTCGTGGCTTTCATTTGGAGTTGTAATGTTCAGTCGCATTGTCTAAAAGGTTGAAAAGTACTTGCTCTGATCGTTCGTTTTCGTTTTTGGGTATTGTTGTGTTTTTCCTTTGGGAGATGCGCGTTCCTTACTTCCGTATTCGCCTCTGTCCCACTCTCCGGTTCACTCTAAAATGGGTGAAAGCAAAAAAAAAAAAATGCGCTACGAAGCCACGTGCCCTCTTCCCTTCTCCTGCCCCACGTCGGAAACAAGAGCGTGAGCAAGGCAACGCACGCACACACACACACACAGAGAGGGAGAGAGAAACCCAACACCAAACGAAAAAAAAGGAGGAAAAAAAGATGTCAAGGCGAAATGAAAACGTGGCTCATGGTACGCAGCACGAATGAAAGAGCAAGACCTCCATCACAAAATCACCTGCCGTCTACTCACAGCATCACTCCATCTGTGCGGTTCGGCAACGCACTCCTTGCATCATTCACTATTGGACTTCGCCCCGCTCTATTTTTCACAGTGCAGCCCTTTCCGCCCTTTTAAACCCTCTCTCTCTCTCTCTCTCTCTCCCTCCCTCTCTCCTATCACTCTCAGCACCTCGTTTCATATCAGATTTTGTTTCTTCGCATCGTGCCGATTCCCCAAACAAACTGATACGCAAAGATACACGTTCCTGCCCCTTTTCCTTCTCCAGCCCCCCCCCTCCACAACACACAGTGTCCCTCCAGTAGAGCGAGTGGAAATGAGCAAGAAAAGAAAGAAAGGAAGGACGGAAGGAAGGAAGGAAGGAAGGAAGGGGGACGAAAAATAGGAAAAATGATGCCCACAGGTCAGGAAGAAAGAGATGGTAACAAAAAAAAAAGTCCGGAAAGCGGTATAAAGAGGCAAAAAAGGGCTCATGGACAGTTCGGACGTTTTGTTGCCAGAGCAACGGTGACGCATGTTTCCCCACCAATGCTGACTCTGCTGTACATCTTTTTTTTTTCCTCCCTTTCTACCCACACTCTACTTTGTGCCCTTTCTCTTCTGTCTTTTCTTCTTCTTCCCTCCATCATCTCATGGACCGGTTGAAATAACAGCAGCGGCACTTCCTCTCTGACTTCTGATAACAATTCAGACCACTCGCCTTTCCTTTCCTTTCCTTTCCTCTCTCAAGGCATGCATGTGGGTGTATCTCCTAAAGCTCTTCAATGCTGTACAAAAAGTTGCGTGTGTTGCCATTTCCGCCAGCAACTTCGCAGACACCTCGCAGGGAGTTGCCTTGCAGCATCGCGAGAAAAACGAAAAAAACCTGCTCAATGTGCTGTCCCTTCACCAAGACGCCCCACTCCATAGGGTAGTCTCGCTCACCCGGAGGTCTGATGGTACCCTCCAGAGTGGCCTCCTGCGCAGGAAAGTGGGCTGAGGACTGGTGCAGTGTGAGTTTCCCAGTAATGTTGCCGCTGCCAAAGTCTGCCTGAAGTTGCAGCGTCCACGGCACATTCTCGTCGAATGGTGTTGCATCCCTATTGCCATTCGCATTGGTGGAGACACGAATCACACGTGTCATGCTGCCAGCAGCAGCGGCAGCAGCAGCATTTGCGTCCGTGCTGTAGGAATCCATACCAGCATGACACGAATTACGTGCACCCTCCGCATTCACCTTCTTATACTGAACCACCTGGCGGAACACATAGTCCAGCAGCGCGCGGGGGTCGCGATTGCGTGGGCTTCGCAATTTCTTTGTAACGCCAAGGATTTCTGCACCCTGCAGAATGTAGAACTGAACATCCTCTGGCTTGCACTTGTTGGTCAGCTGACTCAGACGCACCTTCTCAGGTGCAAATTCCTCATCAAGGTCAAAGAGATCTAGGGCAGGTGGCATGGGGTCGCGGTGCGTCGGCTCGAAAACCGCTGGTTTCACAGGGGGCAAAGGTGTCAGGAATTCTGGGGGAATGAGTGTTAGAGGTTCCTGCTTCACATTGAGCTTGTCGTAAGTCTCTATGACCTGTGGAATTAAGTCAGTGTCTAGTTTGAACGTCTCCATCTGGAAGAGTTTGGTAAAATCGCGCGGGAGCTCCTCCTGCTGCTCCACTGCAACGCGCAGACGCTCAGACAGAGAGGCGATATCAGGAACATGATTGTAGTCAGTAATATCTGGTTCATCTGCATCAATCTGATTCAGTTTCACCCTGTGGTTCATGTAGTCAAACAGAACGGTAGTGAGCAGTTCGTTCTCCTCTTTGCCGAACCAGGTGTCCTCCATGACGAGGGCACTGCCAATTAGTAGTAGCTTGCCTTGTTTCTTCCGTCCATTATGCTCCACCGCATCGGAGCTCTCCCATACCGCAGCAATGGGGCGGTTCAGTGGGTACGCCATGAAGCCGCTGCTAAGAATCGGCACCGCTGGGCGGTTCACATTAAAACTCAGACCGTGTGGGTACACAAACACAAGACTGGTGGGTCCTTCCACCACGGTATCATCCGCAGCTGGCTGCTGCATAGCCATTGCCGCGGCATTCATTGTGCCACCACCAAAGCCACCAGCTGCAATAGTGCGGTTCAGTGTCATTGGTGCCCCACGATCGCCAAAGGCGGACCCAGCTGCTTGGAGTCCAGTGCGCTCGCTCTGATAACCCAGAGCACCCAAAACATTTTTCCCAGCAGCTTTGTTGATGGCGCGGTTTGTCACACCATTCGCCACGCACACCTCTTTGGGGTGAAGATATTTGTTCATGACAGTGCGCACAACGCAGTCCTCGTTCAGCACGATTCCCGTCCACTCCTCCAGCGTCTGGTTCAGATAGGAGTAGCGACCACCGTGGCCGTCACCAAAGAGCATAATGACAGATCCACCACGCTCAACGTACTCACGAACAGCAGTCATATCCTCCTCACTGAGTTTCTCTTGTGGAGCACCAAATACCACAATGTCGTACGGGAGCATGCGATCAACTGTAACGTCCTCTTTATTCATGTCAATAGTACTGATCTGACGCAACCGTCGCGCCAGTTGCTTATATCCCTTGTTGGGGTGATACAGTTCCTTGCGGCACACGTTAAAGAGAATCTTTGGCGGTGACTCCTTCGTAGGAGAGCCCGGCGTATGGCCGTTGTTGGCTCCATCACCCCCATTCATTGTCCCATTGTACCGATCGGTCATTGTTATCAAATCAAACCCGTCCTTCGCCCGTAAATACGACAAAATCCGTCAAAACGAAAAGTATCCGGCAATATGGAATGACTCTTGTAGCCACACCGCCTCTTTTCTTTACGTGTCTTTCTATTTTTTGTTGTTGTTGTTGGAGTTCGTCTCCTTGGCCTCTCTCTCGAATCACACTCTTCCTCTCTTGCACGAGCAGCAGCGTAAGTCTTGTGGCACAAGTCCTCTATTCGCCCCGCCCAATACGAAGAGGGGAAGAAAGGTGAGGAAAGTGACGGTGCTTTCTATTTTTGGGTGAGTGTGTGTCTGGCACGCTAGTATGCGTGCTAGCCAACGTGCTTTCTTTTCCCTTTTATTTCCCTTTCGTTTACTTCTGGCATGCGCAAGATGCAGGGACCAAAGAGGAGCGGCACACAGAGCGGATGAGGGGATGGCAAGAGAATAGGTGGCATCCACGACAAAATGACAACCCTCCCCCCCCCAAAAAAAAAGGAAATTTTATAACCACAGAAAACGGCGGCTCACCCTCCACTGCGGCCCCTCCTATCTACCACGGCACAAAAACAGATTGCTTTTAAGCACAAGCACACAACGAAGTCATGGCCTCCACAATTTTCTTCTACGTGCTTCCCTTTCCCCAGCAATAAGCGTAAGATGTGTAAAGTTTCTTGTAATTTTTTTTTTCGGGGGTGTCCGTGTGTTTATCTTTTCTTTTCCAGGTATTGTGAGCCTTGTCTGGAACTCGGTCATTATCTCCGACCTGTTTAATCGCACAGGGGATTGAGAAGGAGAGAGAGAGAGAGAGAGAACAGAGCGACACATTATGCCTGTGTACACCCACTCACGTGCAATCCCTTTATTCAACGCTCCTTAACTTGCTTCTCTTCAAAAAGGCACACCTACGCACGCACATATGCTACTGTTGTATATATATATATACATACATATACAACAGACCCACGGACCCCAGTGAACGTGCAGGTGTAGTGTATTTAAGAAAAGAGAACCAACACAGAAGGAGCGAGTTGGGAGCTGCAGGGAGCAACAAAGAGCTAAAAACGGGAAGGAGAAAAGAAGAGAGGGAAAGAAACAGCTTGGTGGGAAGGGGAGACCAAAGGGCTTGCAAGGAGTTGCCTACCTCAGTACGTCCCTTGCCTCTTACCATTAGAATGGCCGCCTCTTGTATTCATTGTGTCACTTCTTCTTTCCGCCTTCGTTTATTTTCCCATTTTGGCCCCGTTTGCCTCTCCTTGTTGGTACTCTATTGGTGCTTCTGTCGCTCCAGTGTGTCAATGTGATGCGACTGTGTGAGGAGCTCATACAATGTACCAAACGCAAACACAATAAATAGCAATCCACCCACAACATTCACCGTCTTCATAGAAACATGCTGGGCGATCATGTTACCAAAGAGCACGGCGCCGCCGGTGCAGATAAGGTGACCGAACACGCCACCAAGCGTGACGGCGTAAGGGTTCTTTGCCGCTGCAAGCGCAATGGTCGCCAGCTGGCTGCGGTCGCCCCACTCCGCAACAAACGTCAGTGCAAAGGCCTCGATCATAATGGGATGCAGCACTGGCCAGCGGCGGTAGGCCGAGCCGCTGCCAACTGACAAGTTGCTACCGGTCTCCAGCGCATCGTTGGGATCCTTCTTGCGAAGGACCGCGGCAGCCTCTGTCATCTCATCCTCGCTATCCTGCTCGTTGCTGTTGCGCTTGAGGAGCTCATCATATAGGATCTTGCCTCCGAAGAAGAAAAACAGCCCGATGGCCATTATCTCCGTCAGTCGCACCGACAGCACGTTGGGAACCACGAGGCCCATCAGCGCCGACAGGACCGTCATGGCGGCCAGCGCGGAGGCGGCGCCGCAGAAGACTAGCAACTTCGGGTGCCGCATGGCCATGAGGCACGCAATGAAGAACGTCTTGTCGCCTATTTCGCTGACGAGAATCATGGAAAGGGACGACAAGAGGCCATCAGACCAACTCTTGGAGGTAGGACTATCCATTCACGCCAAGACCTGTTTGTAGATATATATATATATATATAAGTAAATAATTGTATGTCTGTGAAACTTGTAGGTGAACGCCTATCACGGATTCCTTATATGGTTCACCTAGACTTTGATGGTATGGATATCCTTGTTGCACCTTGCTTTGCTTCCAAAAGACAGCCGAGATGTACGCGTCAGTGGATGTCTCCGCTCCCTCTCCCTAAACAAACTGGGAAGGAATCAGCGGAACGGGGGGAAAAAAAACTATCAAATGAGAATAGAAAGAAGGAAGAAATAGCACATGTTCTTTTACCGCTGAGATTGTCATAAGCAACACAATGCCGTGCAACTTTGTGGAGGCGTGTGAAGTACTTGCAGCGGCGCCTGACTGTCGCTGTGCGTGCGAAAAAGATGGGGAGTAATTTTGTGTATTTCGACAGCGGAGCATCCAGCGGGAGGAGTGAGTGAGCATTGTCGTCCGCAAACCGGTAGCTTCCGCCGAATGGAGGAACAACAACAGCAGCAGCAAACGGCAGCAGCAGCGTCAGCAGGAAGAACAGGAAGAGGAACAATAGGAAGAGCAGTAGAAGAGTAGTGAGAGGACCGGAAGCCACGGCGGCCTTGCACACAGCGGCGACGCGCCTCAACCACTCCCCAGGCATCGCGCCGCTGCCGCTGGCGCTCCACACAGACACACATACACACACACAGAGAGAGAGACATGCACACTCTCTCACGTGTGCGAGACGGTGCTGCGATTCTTCCTCGTCCTCCTCACACGCCCTCTGCTGCCGCCCACAACGCTTCACCATTGGCGCGATACCAAATAAACAAAGAAATTGAAAAAAGAACAACAAAATGAGAAAAAAGAAGCGGATGAAAAAAAAAAATTTCGGTTTTGCCCCGCCGACATCACAATTGTTTTTTTGGTTTTCAACTCCTTGCACCACCCTGACGTGTTGTTTTCTGCAACGAGACGGAAAAAGAGAAAAAGTAAACAACAAACACAACAACAACAACAACGGTGAAAGAATGCGGAAAAAGCGGGTAGCAGCACCGCTACCAATAACAACAACAACACCAACAACAACAACCATCATTATCCGGAATGCGATGCAATCTCTTCTCCGCCACGATGCTTTCCTTTTACGCACCCTCCGGCCTCTTCTGNCCTCGAAGCCCAGACTCTCGGACTCTCCTCCCACGTCGCGCTCCTGCTCTTCGCCCACGCGTCTCGCGCCCCCTCCACCACATGAAAGGTGGCACCAGCGCGACAGCCATTCCGCAATTCCCACAGACACGTACCCACACTGCTGCAGTAACAACAAAAGTCATAGCAGTAACAGTAGCAGTAGCAGTGGAAGAGAAAGAGCAATAGCCAAAGAGAACTCAAAAGAAAAACACGCAGAAGTAAGTCGCCGTCGCGGCCAAAGAGAGATGGCCTCCCTGCAAACACTACACACAAACACACACATTCGCCTTCACACACACCAACATTTTTGTTATTATTTTGTTTTGTCCTTAATATGTTTGGGGCTTCTTTTCGTTCGTCGTTTTCCTTCCCCGCCCGACCCCCCCCCNTCATTTCGATTTTTTTTTTCTTTTTTTCATGCTCCTCACCATTTTCCTTTTCTTCGCCTTCCGGATGCAGATCATATCATGTCTGTCGAGATTTTCTTCTCAGCACACGCCGGCAGAAGTGGAACGAATGGAAAGGCAAGAGACCCAAAACACCTTGCAGAAACGACGGGCGACTCCCTTCTTCACACCGTCAGTTTCTCCTCAGCAGCAGCAGCAGCAGCAGCACAGGCAATGCATCTGTGACCCACCACCTCGCACACACGGGCACCGCATGCATGCATACACACACTGCATAATCGGTCAGGCGGCGGAGAGTTCATTTTCATTGATCTTTTATTCCTCCTCTCACACCGTTTTTCGCACTTCTTTTTCCTTTTCTTTTTTTTTCTTCTTTTTCCTTCTCGGACCTTCGTTATTCATTATTGCTGTTTTGTGTTGTTGATATTGATGTAATTCTTTTTTTGTTGTTGTTGTTTGAGGGGGGGGGGGGGGGGGGGGGTTGGNGGGGGCTTTGAGTGCTTCACGCTGCATGTGCCGGATGAGGTTCCATTTACGCATCCTCTCCAGCTGCAACAGCCGCCTCTTTCTGAAGCTCGGCTTCTGGCACCTCCGTCGTCGGTGTAGGCTTCACATCTTGATTTTCCTCTTCCAACTCCTTGCCGTTAGTCTCCTCCCTCAGACTGCTACCCTTGCTGCTCTCCTTCTCCTTCGAGCTACGCTTGCTCCTCGCGCTGGTCTCCTTCTCCTCCCCTTGTGGAGTAGGGTTGGTGATGTTCGGGTTTAGGATTTGACTTTGGTTTTGGCTCTGGCTGCCACTGTTGTTGCGATTTCCAGGGTAGCGTGGATATGTGGAATTCACGTGCATCTCTTTGCAGTGCTGTCCGAAGCGGCATTTGCCCTTGATATAGTTGAGGCAAGCCTCATACGGGTAATTTGCAAATGCACAATCATCAAGGAAGTTACAGTGCCCGTACACACGGAGACAGGGGTGCTTTTTGCCGGTGCTCTTGCTGCTGTAACCACCGCTCTGCTGCTGCTGCTGCTGCTGCTGTTGTCGGTTTTCCCACCGGCGTGTTGGTGCACCATTGCTGGTTGGGGCGGTGGCTGCAGTAACGCTGCTTTNAGTTACAGTGCCCGTACACACGGAGACAGGGGTGCTTTTTGCCGGTGCTCTTGCTGCTGTAACCACCGCTCTGCTGCTGCTGCTGTTGTCGGTTTTCCCACCGGCGTGTTGGTGCACCATTGCTGGTTGGGGCGGTGGCTGCAGTAACGCTGCTTTGTGAGACATTGAGGCTGCCAGCGTTAGCTGCATTCACGAGTGTCGCCTCCAACTCTGCCACGCGGAGAGGAGCCGCACCGGGGTCCGCCTCCTCATCCGCCCAGTTGAGGCCGTTGGTGCCGCTCTTCGCAGCCGCGTCGCCCTGTTGCGGGGCGAAGGCTGGGATGGGGCTACGCTGCGATACCGGCGGCACCTCGCTGGTGCGGACCAGCTGAAGCATGTGGACGAGGCGACGCAGTGTCTGGTTGGGCACCACCACATCTAAAAGCTCCTCCTTTGTGAGTTGTGAGTACGCCTTTGTGTTGGTACTAGCACACTCGCTGAGATACTCGCAAATCGAGACATTCTCGTATGTGAAGCCGTCGGACGCCACAACTGGATCCTTCACTGTGGCATACTGCCCCACAACGCGTTCCATCGCCGCCAGGCTGTTCTGTGCCGCGATAAGCTTAGCGCGGGCCTCGTCGCGCTGCTTAATAGCGTTGTTGTACGTCTGGCGCGTATCCTCGAGCGTGCGCTGGAGATTGTGCGCGACACCGAGTAGGTACGGAAGAGAACAACGGTGACCGTTGAAGCCCTCCTGGAGCTCCTTGGTGGCGTTCCACAGCAGCGGGGATGCATCAGCACCAGTGCTCGCTGTGTTTGGCTGCATTCCTCCTCTTGGATGGGTTGGACTGTTTGGTGATGCCGCTCAGCTACTTGTTTTCTCCTTACTTTCTGTGTGTGTGTGTATGTTTGTGTGCAAAAAAAAAAACGCAAAAAAAACCACGAGAAGGTGTGAAGTGAGAGCGGTGAGACAGGGATACAGTGGAGCATCACGTGTGTGAATATGAACGCATGGGTACAGATGTACATGTATGCGCACTCCCGAGAGAAGGGCGCCTCATGAAGGAATTTCGCACGTTGCGCACGATATTGTCTCTTCTCGTCACTTCCCTCCCTCGCATACCTTCCATTCCTCACCTTTCCCTCCCTTTGCCTCCTCTCCCTCTCCCTCCCCCTCTCCCACTCTCCCTCTCTCACTCTCACTCTCCTGCCGCAGAATGATGCTGTTGACATTGTTGCAGTTGCACGCCGCAACAACAACCACGAGGATGTGTCTTCGCAAAAAAAAAAAAAAA